ATCTGTGTTGGAACAAGTACAACTAGAATACTTCTTGGAAGGTAGGATGGCCAGACTTCATCTCTTATACTTTGGACATATCAAGAGGGACCAGTCCCAGGAGAAGGATTTGTTGTTTGCTAAAGTGGAGGGTGGGAGAAAAATAGGAAGACCCCCCAATGAGATGGATTGGCACAGTGGCAGCAGCAATGGTTTCAAAGGTAGCAAGGGTTGTGAGGTTGGCACAAGACCAGGCAATGTTTCTATTGTGAATAGGGTCACTATGAGTCGATACTGACTTGATGGCACATGGCTACAATAACAACAATGTGGGGAAAGTTACTTCTCCTAACTCTCAGTTCTTATTGACTCTGGTCATTCCATAGATGAGATGAAAGGTGAGGACCAGCATGTCTCAACAATAATTCCAGCTCTTCCTCACTAAGTATCAACTGGGGCAGGCTAAGGAAAAAGAATGGATGCTAGGTTCATTTAGAAATGACTTGAGACTTCCTGGATTCCTCATTTGGATACCAAATGCTCTATGGGACCAACTGTGATTTTTCTTGAATTGTTGGTAGTCTTCATATGTGGTTTTTCTCCTTTAAAAAAATAAAGCTAAAAGGGAAAAGGCTCCCACAACTTCTTGGCTTTCACAAACTTTAGTGTGATGAGAAACACATGGTTGACCAGTGCCTGGAAAACAGTTCTGGGGATTCTACTGCCCCCTAGAGATCCCTGGCGGTGCTGTAGGATAAGTAGTGGACTGCAAACCACATGGTCAGCGGTTCAAACCCACCAGCTGTTCTGTGCAAGAAATATGAGGCTGTCTGCACCTGTACAGATTTACAGTCCCTATATATAGCCATTTTGAGTCAGAATCAACTTGATGGAATTGGGTTTGTTTCTGGATTTAGAGACCCAGACTCAGGACACAGCATCTTGGCCCCAGCCTGAGCCAGTAGGAAAATCACAAAAGGTTGGTGGGCTGCTGTGGGTAGACCAGTAGGATTGTCCACTTGGGACTGCATTTTTAGTTTATTAGTGTTTGCTGAGAGGTCATTTTGGCACCTACTCCAGTCTGACAGGTACAAGGGTATCTAAGTGACATTTAGATGGGGGTCTCTAGGATGCTTGATTGGCAGCTTTCTGTGAACATGCAATTTAACAATGCTAAGACCTGGTGTGGCACTGTGAGTTAATGCGCCAGACTGTGAAGCCTTTTGAACTGCAAAGTCGGTGGTTCAAGTTCACCGGCAATTCCTCGGAAACCCTATACAGGGTTGCTATGGGTTGGAATCGACTCGACAGCACTTAACAACAACAAGACTTTGTTGGACCAGTGACGTAGAAGGAACACACTTGGTAAAACCTCCTAGACACAAGTGCAATTCAGAAAAGGCCCTGGGCAGAAAGGGATAAGGACAGGAGTCATAGGGGAGGGAGGAGAGAGCGTGTGTCAAGCAGTGCTTTATCCTAGTTAGATCATAGAGACTCTTTTGTCAATCTGATGAAAGCCACTAATTCCCCTCTTCTGTAAGACTGTGCATGACTATTAGGACATACAATTCCACGGGTCTCCTGGGTCCCCTTGGTCCAAATGTGGCTGTATTTGGGGGAACCCTGAGTTAGAGAAAAGCCTGAGAAAGGCTGAGCTGTATTGAGGATGGAGACGTGGGGAGACTCTGGCTAAGTTAGCTGTGAAGAATCACAGAGCAGGAATAGATCTGAGGTCATCCTTTCACTGATGGGGGACTGAGGCTAGGAGCAGGTGTAATGGCACATCCAGAAGTCTAACCAAGGTCCAGGTGGGACACTGTTCCTCACTGTTTTAGCTGGCTTGGGACAGCATGACTGTTTTGAGACACTGAAGCAGGGTTTCCAGATGAGGACCATAGCAAGGCAACTTCATAGAGTCTCCAATAAGTCAGAGACACAATGCAGACAAATGTGGAATGAAGCAAGGTGAGCAGAACACAGCTAGATCGAATGAAGGGAAGTGTAGGGAAGTTGTCGAGAACCCCAGAGATGCATGCAATCACAGAGCAGAGAAGGAGCCAGCAAATAGGGCTCAAACCACTTAACAGAAGTGTCCCTATTCACTTGGGTTACAGACCCATGTGCCTACACTCCCTCCCAACTCCCTAATCCAGAGGTCTGGCAAAGACATTCAACTGTGTGGATCATAACAGACTAAGGATAAATTTGTGAAGAATAGGAATTATAGAATGCTTAATTGTGCTAATGTGGAACCTGTACATACATCAAACAGAACAAGGGGACACGGAATGGTTTAAAATCATGAAAAGTGTGTGACAGGGTTGCATCCTTCCATGATACTTATGCTGAGCAAATAACCTGAGAAGCTGGCTTATAGGAAGAAGAATGTGGCATCAGTATTGGAGGAAGACTCATTAACAACTTGTGGTATGCTGATGACACAATCTTGTTTGCTGAAAGCAATGAGGCCATGAAGCACTTACTGATGAAGACCAAAGATTATAGACTTCAGTACAATTACACCCTAACGTAAAGGAAACAAAAATCCTCATCACTGGTCCAATACACAACATCAAATAAATGGAGAAAAGATTGAAGCTGTCGAAGACTTCAGTTTGCTTGCATCCACAGTCAGCACTCATAGAAACAGCAGCCAACAAATCAAATGACATATTGCATAAGAAAAATCTGCTGCAAAAGACCTCTTTAAAGCGTTCAAGAGCAAAGACAATCAGTTTGAGGACTAAGGCCACCTGACCCAAATCATGGTATTTTCAATCAACTCATATGCATGTGAAAGATGGACAGTGAATAAGGAAGACTGAGAAGAACTAATGCATTTGAATCATGGTGTCCAAAGAATATTGAACACATTATGGACAGCCAGAAGAATGAACAATTTGTCTTGGAAGAAATGCAACTAGAAGGCTTCTTAAAAACAAGGATAGTGAGACTTCCTTCACCCTTTGGGTCATTTCTCCGGAGTGACTGGTCCCTGGAGAAGGATATCATGCTTGGTAGAGGGTTAGCAATAAAGAAAAAAAGATGGATTGGCACAATGAAAGCAACAATGGACTCAAACATGCCAATTGCAAGGATGGCACGGGACCATTGTGTTGTGCGTAAGGTCGTTACGAGTTAGAGCCACCTCGGTGGTATCTAACAGCAACAATGACAAAAATATATGCCATACATCCTAACCCTGTGGTTTTAATCCCATGTGGGAATGTTTTTTCTTTGCTATGTTAATGAAACAGTGCCAGGGTAAGGTATATTTTATATCAGTCCCTTCTAAGATGTAAACCAAGACGACTGGGTACAGAGAAGCAAACGAGCATAGACCTTATGCCCAAGAAGACCACCAAGAAGCCAAGGAACGAGGACCTTCCATCCAGAGTGACAAACAGAGAAAGGGAGCCTTCCCCTAGCGCTGAGTTCTAGTCTCTAAAATGTACAAAGATAGATTTGTTTGTTACAACAGAAATACCATAGCCAGTGGCTTTTTCTGTTATGGCAGCACTTAATAACAAAGACAGCAGCTTTCTGCTCTCAGTGTGAACATGGACTGTTCTCAGATGGATGGGTGACAGAGAAGCTTTCTTAGGAAGAATGTATTGAAGCTTTAATTAGAACATAACCTGGAGTTCTTTGTTTTGCTTTGCTTTTTAACAGTAATTCACTACATGTGTAACCCAGGGCAAGTTTCTTAACCTCTCTGTGTTTGGTTGGTTGGTTATGTGCCGTGGAGTCGGTTCCGACTCATAGCGACCCTCTACAGGGTTTCCGAGGCCGTAAGTCTTTACGGGAGCAGAACGCCTCATCTTTCTCCCGCAGAACAGCTGGTAGTTTTGAACTGCTGACCTTAAGGCTTGCAGCCCGATTCGTAACCACTACGCTACCAGAGCTCCTTCTCTGTGTCTAAGTTTCCTCAATTGTAAAATGAGGGTAATAATAACCCCTACCTTCTAGGGCCATTGTAAGGATTAAATAAGTTTTCTTAAACACTTCAGACAGACCAAAGTAAGGACAACATAAGTATTGATAAATGAATAAGGCTTTTAAATCAATAGACAATTGAGTAGACAAATCCTACTTATTTTAATTGCTAAATATTTCCTAAATCCATTCAGCTCCTCTCCTCTCATTTTACTGCCACTGCCTTAGCTCAGCCCTTGTTTGTGGCTCCCCTGGAAGACCTATATTATCTCCTTCCCCCAACTTTGCCATCTTCTGCCCCACCTACCCTTCAAAGTAAATCCTAAAACGGACTCTCCAGATCCTTTTGCTTAAGACTCTTCAGTGGCTACCCTACAGGAACAAGTCCATGCCTTGGTCTATCTACGCATAACATTATTTGTTTTTTAATAATATTATGATTGCTTTAATCTCTGGGTACAACATGCTCTACTGAATACGTCCAGACTCTGGTCAGTTTTAGAATTCATCCCTTTTCTCTTTATCCCTGTTTTCAGTCAAGAGCAGCTTATCTACCCACGTGGTCTCCCCCTTCTCTTTGCCCTTGTCAAGAAAGGAACTGCTCTCATTCCATTTGTTCATCTGTTGAATTACAGGGTCAGATTAGGCTTAGACAGATTTATGACTCTTGTTTATAACTTAGTATGGTTTTAAGTCACTGAGTTACTTCTCTCCTGGCTTATTTTCATTTCATCAGCTTTCGATTCTTGTTCTGAAAAGAGGAAGCCTTTGTCCTCACTTAGAAGACTTTCAGGCAAAGTGAACTGGAGAGAGGGCTTATCTGTGAGGACAGGGGGCGATGTCTTCCAGTAGTTCACTTCACAAGTGATATCTACTCTGAGTGGATGTTGTGAAGCAGTTGGGAGATTGGTAGCCCTTTGGAGGTAAAGAGAGGGGTCCCACACTCTCTTTGAAAAGAGAGTCCTATGCACTGGATTGATGAGGTTCCTTTGGAAATCTGCCTTCTCAAAGTGAACACTGTGCTTTTTAAATTCCAATGCAGACTCTTTCCCTTTCACTAGCCCCAGAAACAAGCAGTTGATTACTTTTCAGGGGTCAAGGTCTCCTCCAAGAACTCTTCGATCTTATTGACGTCCGTCTTCACGTCCCCATTGAAAGTCAGGAAAGGCGGATGGGTCCCAGGGGCTAGGTTGTGGAGGTCAGCTGGCTTCCTGTAGAGAGAGGAAGAGTCAGGTGTTAGTTTATACTAGGGTACTTCGTGTTCAGGGAAATCGAGGGCTTCAAGCTGCAAATTAGACTCCCTGTGTGGTCCCACATACCCCTCGACAGACTTGTAGTGTGGGGTGCATGGAAGGAAGATAGAAGGAAGCTCTGAAGGGAAGGTATGACACAGGAAATTCTGTTGGGTGCAAGTTAGTGAGAGAGAAGTAAGTCAGGAGGAAGGACACGAAGTACCACTGAAAACTGGAGAATGATCATAGATGACCATGTGAATTCGTGTGAAGCTTCAATTACCCAAGGGGAGAGGAACTTTTTTGTTTCCTTTCAAATCAATTAGCTTCACAAAATATTATTATACAGAATTGCAACCTTTAAAAAGTAATTAATTAGATCACACATTCATCCCAAAAGATGATCTCAGGAGGAGGATTTTGTAATAATATTATCTTGGGATATTGCAATCATAATGGTGCAATTATTGCAAGAGGGCAGAGATGATTTTTTTAAATACAAAGATTTGGGAGCTTGAGTTATTTGACCATCTTGAGTACTTCTATTCTGTGGAACTTAAATTCTAATATCTAATAATGAATGTTTAACAAGACGTCCTGGTTTGAAACTGTAGTATAAGTACTGGACTGTTAACTGCAGGGTTTTCAGTTCAAACCCACCAGCCCCTCCTTGGAAATCCTATACAGGGTCGCTCTGAGTCGGAAATGACTCAACAGCACTTAACTACAACAATGCCAGTCTTTAGTCAGACTCAGCAGAACACTTTTTTTTTTTTCATCTATGTTGTTATTGTGTGCTGTTGAGTTGGTTCCAACTCATGGAGACCCTTTTACAGGGTTTCTAAGAGAGTCTGGTGGATTTGAACTATAGGCCTTAGGATGAGCAGCCCAGGGTTTATCCTACAGTGAAGCTCCTAATACAGCCTTTGTTGTTGCTTACTGCTGTCAAGTCAATTCTGACTCATATCTACGCTATATAGGGTTTCCAAGGAGCAACTGGTGAGTTTGAACCACCAACCTTGTGGTTCAAACTGATCTTGTTGTCCCATGCTTTATTCCACAGTGCTACACTGGGACAGCCTTTGGGTATCCTGAAATAAAAACTATGAGCTTAAATCTAAATTATTAAATGAAGGTATTGTCAAATATCTTTTGCTTGCTAAGTTTCTAACATGGACACACTCCAGGTCCTTGTGAAAGCTCATGGATTTATGCCCATTGAGTCCAAACTCCTGAGGGGAATGAATTTGGCAACAAGAGCTACTATTCCTGAGTAAGAAGCTCTCTGGCAGTTGGAGATTATGAGAACAGGGAGCTTGAATTGTGCCTGGCATATAGAAGGTCCTCAATAGACATATATTCTTAATGTGTACTACATGAATAGGAGTGCAGAGACTCTATTGGATAAGCCAATAGAGTGTGGTGCCGTGAGTTAATGCACCAGACTGCAAAGCCATTTGAACTGCAAGGTTGGTGGTTCAAGCTCACCAGATGCTCCTCGGAAACCTTATACAGAGTTCCATTGGTTGGAACTGACTTGACGGCAATTAACAACAAACAATAACTACAACATTAGATGTTCAAGCCCACCAGTAACTCCTAGGGAGAAAGAAATGAGTCTTTTTGTTCCTGCGAAGATTTACAGTCTTGGAAACCCTATATGGGGTGGCTATGAGTCAGAACTAACTCAATGGCACTTACAACAACAACAATACATGAATCCAGCATCCATTTTTAATTTGTTCAAAACAGTGATTTCTTTTCATCCAACTCAATTCACAACTTTATATAAATGGTAAATGTTGCAAGAGAATTCAATTAATTTATATAAATTGGTTTACAATTGAGATCTAAGAGAATGTTGAGTAAGTTAAAAAATCAGAAATATCAGAACCATCCTTGCCATTCAAACTGACTTTGCACATTAACCCACAGCACCACACCAGGACTGAGTGAATATAGGGAGAACCAACCAATCACTATATTGCTAGAGTGTTGGTACTACACTATATTCTTACTTTCAAAGTATTTCTACTTTGTAACTTAGTTCAAGACATGCTATTTATTCTTAAATTTTTAGTATTTAAGTTTTACTAGAAAGCTATTATGTTTCTTGAAATGTGATTTTAATTCTGTTCAGCATCCATAAATTGAATATATCCTATTGAATCAGAGATTGTACTTATTTTTGAAAAGTTCTCAGGGCCCTTAAGTTTTATCTTAAATTATAAGCAATTTATTCTCCAAGTAAACAGAGCTCATCAAGGGATCCATTTCTTTTTATAGCCAGCTTTGCTAGGTGCAATATGTTCTCGTAGGTGAAACGTACGTATAATAGGCAACAAATTCATTCTCTGAGAGCAGAGAAAGACTTTTGGAGTACTTGTGGGATTCTGAAAGACATCTAAGATAACGAAAGCAACAGTCCTAAATTACCTAGAGAAGAAAATGGTGAAATTCTGGACTGTATGTTCAATTGAGCAAATCAACAATTAATTAATTGATTTAACTGTATATACTTAGCCCACAGCACTGCTAGGGGTCATTCCTGGTTTGAGCTGGGTGTGTAATAGCTAGCTATAAAAAAGGGACTGAATTATTAGGAGCATCCAGTCGATTTCAACTCATAGCAACCCTATAGTTGTTAAGTTTCAACTCATAATGACTCCATGTAGCAAAGCAGAACGGCCCGATAGGGTTTTCAAGGCTGTAAATCGTTAAAGGTAACACATGGCCTTATCGTTCTCCCATGGATTGGCTGGTGAGTTTCAACTACCGATTTTTCAGATAGCAGCTGGAGTCCTGGTGTGGCTCTGTGGGTCAATGCGCCAGACTGCAAAGCCATTGGAACTGCAAGTTATGCGGTTCAAGCTCACCAGCTGCTCCTTGGAAACCCTATACAGGGTCGCTATGGGTTGAAATTGACTAGATGACACTTAACAACAACAACAGCTGGATTTTTAATGGCTGTGCCACCAATACTCCTGTAAAATGTCCACTAGGAAATAAAGAGACCTTGTGCTTTTCTGGGCCTTTTTAAAGGAGTCCGGGTGTGGTGCTGTGGGTTAATGCGCTGGACTGCAAAGTCAGTTTGAACCACAAATTCGGTGGTTCAAGCTCACCAGTCATTCCTTGGAAACCATGTACAGGGTCACTAGGGGTCAGAACCAACTCGATGGCACTTAATAATAACAACATACCAGTTATGGAGTCCTGGCATGGCATTATAGGATAAGCATTCAACTGCAAGGTCGGTTTCAACCACAAAATTGGCAGTTTAAAACCACCAGCCACTCCTCAGAAACCCCTATATAGGGTTGCTATGAGTCAGAACTGACTCGACGGCACTTCACAACAACAGCATTAATGTTAAAGGAGTCCTAGTGGCTCAATGGTTAAGCATTCAAGTAGCCAACTGCTATTTGAAAGTTTGGCCGTTTGAACTCATCTAGCAACTCCTCAGAGAAAGGACTGGTGATCTGTACCCACACAGATTATAGTCTGCGGGGCAGGTCTACTCTGACAGGGAGTCATTATGAGCTGAAAATAAGCACAATGACAACTAACAACAACAGTTAAGTTTCAAGGACTGGCTTCTGGCTTCTGCCAGCTGATCTAAAGGCAAGAGCAAAGGTGGGGCAAAGTGAGAAGTAGAGTTGATGACCTGAGGACAGTGGAGATGGAGAGGGTGAGCTAAGAAAAGTGGGAGAAACAGGGACTACTGAAGGGGAATCCCACATACAGGGCTCGAACATCAAACCCACCCTAAATGCTCTCTCTCTGAGGATGCAACATTTCTGGAGAAGTAGAGAATGGGAAACATTGCATGGGGAAATTAAAAAAACAAAACAAAAACAAATAAAATTCACAAGGATGGGAAGAGGAGTCTGTAATGAAATAAATTCCTGGCGTAATCCATTTGGGAGGGGAAGAAAAGAATTTCAATTACGGTGCTACTCCCCTGTCGTTCCCCAAACAGACATGCTTTCCACACATACTTCTGTGGCACTTGGAACTCCTTAGACAATAGAGACAGAAAGTATTTTAAAACTCTAATTCATTTTGTCCCTTTGTTTACTTTGTGTGTCTCCCTTGTTTCAGACAATGAAAGGACATTCTTTAGTTTCTCCTCCTGGCTTTAGAGCTGATATAAGACAGTGAGTGGTGCTTGGCTTCTCAGATGGAAGAAGAAATCACATCCTGGTGTGTGTGTGTTTTTCTCTCTGAGACTCTAGGGAACAGTGTCCACTGGATTCTGACACCCTTGTAAAGTAAAGCTCATGACTCCCAAAGCTCAGTTGGACCCTGCCCAATGGGTGGCCAGCCCTTAGTTGACCCTTTCAGCATTTACAGTTGAAATAACATCATTAGGATTTGATTGCATATACCCACTGCTGTCAAGTTGGTTCCGACTCAATGCAACCCTATATAGGGTTTCCAAGGTTTTAAGTCTTTACACCAGCAGACTACCTTATCTTTCTCCTTCTGAGGGCTGATGGGCTTAAACTGCTGACCTTGTGATTAGCAGCCTGACGCCTAATGCACAGTGCCGCCAGAACTTCTTTTAATTACATATTTATGTTGCTGATGTTGCTGTTAACGTGCTGTTGAGTCAGTTCTGACCCATAGCAACCCTATCTAGGGTTTCCAAGGAGCAGCTGGTGAGCTTCAACCACTGACCTTATAGTTCAAACTGACTTTGCAGTCCAACGTATTAACCTGCAGCGCCACACCAGGACTCCTTAGTTACATATGGTGGTAGGGGTGATGTGCCATGGAATCTGTTCCAACTCATAGCGACCCTGTACAGGATTTCTGAGGCTGTAAATCTTTATGGGAGTAGAAAGTGTCATCTTTCTCCTGAAGAACAGCTGGTAGTTTCGAACTGCTGACCCTGAGGTTAGCAGCCCGATTCATAACCACTATGCTACCAGAGCTCCTTTGTTCTTGTTAAGTGACATCAAATCAGTTCCAACTCATAGTAAACCTATGAGGAGTGGCTAATGGTTTTGAACCACTGACCTTACTTATAGTAAGAAGTTCAGTGTATATATATAACTTTTCTTGGCAATAAGAAGATTTCTTTATCTTTAATACTGGTGTTTGATACTTTACTGGCTACCTCAAAGGGGTGTTGGCAGGAAAGATGTGATAACAGATGTGAGCAAGTAGCATAAACATTTGGAGAATGCTAGGGTTGCTCCCCTTCCTAGGTTGAGCTCCAGCCAGACATACAAGTTCACTCTTACAGATGATAATCCAAAATCCTCTAATACTTCATTGGAAGAAGCTGGTTTTTCAAACTAGACAAAAGTCTCCTGCTTGTTTTAGTTATCACAGACTCTAATAGCATAGTTGATGCACGTTTCTTTACTTGATAGACACCAGTTAGTTAACTACTATCGAGGATATAAAGAAACTGAAAACATGGCCCCTGCCTGTCATTGAGAGACTTGAGGTCATTTGAAAGACAAAAACATCAAAAGGCAATCTGATGTGTTATAAAGAGCATGGGATATGAACCAAGAAAACTGGGTTTTCAGTAGCATTCCCTCCAATTTCTAGCTGGGCACCTTGGGCAAGTCACTTAAAAGCACCCACGTCAGTTTATTTGTATAAAATGAGGAAACAAGACTTCCTCCATAGGACTATCTGTTATGTGATTATTTATTGGACAGTACTCACCAGTGATAAAGCGTTAGGACTATAGTTCTCATTACTAGGTGAAATGCTAAATGATGATGCAAGACAGCATAGCCAATAGGGGCAGGTGAGTTTGGAGGGCAGTTGGACCGATATGGTACGTTGAGACTGAAAGTGGGAGGAGGTGGGCATGCTCACAGGGAAGATGGGACAGAAGTTGAACCTGGGGGCTGGACACAATCTGGAGACACAGGAAGCACCCCTGCTAAGGGCTGGAGGCTGCATGGAATAAGAGTAGCAAAAGGCCAGTGTGGCAAAGATAAGAGTTCTTGACAAAAGGTGCTGGGAGATAATGCTAGAAAGAAGCTGAGAAAAGACAGAGGAGGGTTCAGGATGCACTGATACTGTGGGCAATGGAAAGCATCAGAAGGTTTTCTGAGCAGCAAGAGCCATGATTAGAGAACAATTTTTAGAAGAATAACCTTATAATGGAGTCCTGGTGTGGTGCTATAGGATAAGCACTGGGTTGCTAACTACAAGGTTGGCAGCTACTCCTTGAAAATGCTATGCAGCGCTCTGATTGGTGACCACGTTCATCACCAATAAGAGGAAATGAGGGGAAAGCAGCAATGAAGCTGCGAGCTAAGCCCTACAATGCTCAATAAACTCCTGTGAACCTGGGTGGAGACCTAATTGGCCAGCAGTGTGCCAAGTCCAGGGGACTCTTGGACCCAGATTCAGTGACATAGCCACAAACGACTAGAGTGGACAGTGAAGCGTCCAGCTGTTAAGAAGAGAGGGCACATGCATAAGTACACCCACACTTGAAGATAATACTCACTTGACCTGGCTTCAATGGCTGGAGGATCAGAGCTCAAACAGAAGAAGAAAGAAGAGGGAAAAAATAATAATCTGATACAATTTGATGAACTTGACCTACACCTATGGAAGCAGTAGCTCAAAAGAGTGAACAAATCTTCACAGCGAGGATCATTCCCACCCCCTCTGCACATGGAGAGGACAGGGATGGGCAACTCAGACATTGGCTACCCAGAATGGGGGGCGGTGGGGGGGTGGCTACAGAGGCAAGAAGTGACTGGCTTACAAGCTTTCAAGAGGGAACCTAGATCCAGAGGGTGTGGAGTAAGGTAGAATCTCCACTGAGTGCTATCCATTCTGCCTAGTCAGGGCTGACGAAAGGAGATGCAGATAGTTCTCCTGCGATACAATAGCGAATAATTGCTATCAAGACTGATTGTAAGGGCTGGAAATATAAAGGTGGATGTTTTGGGGCAAAGGGAGGAGAGTAATTAACCTTACAGTCTAGGAACGGAGGTCCCTGGGACCATCAAAGGAGAAGAGCAGAGAATAGAACCCTACCCAGAGAAGCAGTGGTGCCAGGGATGGAGGCAGATAAATGAGGTGGGGAGATGGAGCTGCTGGAGACTTTGGACCTGGAGAGAGAGAGGGGCGGTGTGCGGATGATGGGGGGCAGGCTTGCAGGGTATACCCTTTGGTTGATCGATGATGCATAGAAGGGATTGTAACCATGGCAAGGAAACGATATATGACGGGATCAATGTGAAGCTGATGTCCTCCCATGTAAACTATCACATAATTCACAATAAAGCCCCTCCCAAGTGTCAAAGATTAGAAAATGGAAAAGCAAAAGTGTTATGGATTGAACTGTGTTCCCCCCCAAAAGTTATATTGAAGACCTGTCTGTACCTACAATATGACCCTGTGCCTGGACATGTGACGTTGCTGGAATACGAGACATGATCTGGGTCTCAAAGCCCTGAAGACTCTGGAGAGTAGGTAGGATCCCCCAGGATGAGGGCATCAGGACTTCTGAAAGGGCCAACTCTTATATTTTTAGATGATCTGGCCAAATATTCTTAGTTGCATAGCCAATATCCATTCCTCCCTTTGTCCTTGCTAAACACATGTTGCTAATCAGTGCAACGAAGTGCCCAACCCAAAGTGAGATACCTCCTTCTGCAGCCTCCTTTGTAACTAGGGGATGGGTCCTGTTACACAATTCTACCCAGAAGACTGGTGGGAGCCATAGGAAGGTTTTTTCCCTCCTTCATGGAAGGATCTCTGTTCCCTGCAGCTAAACACATTCCCCATAAATGTGGTGCCCTTTACCTTTTCAGATCCACGGTGGTGACATTGAACACAACTCCTTTCAGCCAAAGGATCATAAAGAGGCGCTGAGAGAAAGGACAGTTGCCGATACTTTCTCCATCGATTCCAGCCTACAAGGAAGAAAACCAGAGTCCTGAGTTGTCATGTACATATTATCAACAAAGAACACAGGATTATAACACCAAAACCTCAGTCTGAGAACAACAACAAAAAAAAAACCCAACAGTCTGAGAACACGACTCATACACGTCCAAGCAAAACCTCAAAGGGCAGAAGTCATATTTTACTCATCTATGTCCTCTAATGTCTATAGAAGGCAATGTCTGAAACAATTTAAGAGTGCAATAAGTATGTACTGCACTGAATTTGAGTCTCCCGAATCACAATTATATAAGATTGTAACATTCTGAAACTATAGAACCTTAGCATCACAGGATAAAAGACCTTGAATATCACTTAATTTAACAAAAAATGATACTGGAATTCCAGCTTCTATATCTCCAAGTAGTCATCTAGTTGTTGTTAAGTGCCATCAAGTCAATTCCAACCCATAGCAACCCTGTAGAGGGTCTCCAAGGAGCTACTGGTGAGCTTGAACCACCAACCTTACAGTTCAAACCAACTTTGCAGCCTAGCGCATTAACCCACAACGCCACACCAGGACCCCCAGTCATCTAGTCTATATGCCTAAATAGTTCCACTGACAAGTCATTTCTTTTCCTCAAAGTAGTTCATTCTAACTGAGAATTACTCTAAGAAGTAAAATGTTTTGGTTTGCTGTACCTTGCCGTAATAATTTCCTCCGGGGCTTATCCTCTAATGCCCTTTGGTCCTAGCTCTATGAGAATTTCATGAGTACAAATACCTCAGATTTTGAAGCCCCTCTCTCAGTATATTTAAACAAGTCAGCAAGCCCAAGACTTAGTAGTTCTGACTAGTACTTGACCTTTTTTTACTAAACAAAGGCATATTGATTCTCGATTACGTGCAGAACATAGGAGACAATTGCATGGAGGATTTAAACATGTATTTCCTCAAGGAGCTTATGGGCTTCCGTGCTATGGGAAGAAAGGCCCATAGCACAATAACAGCTACATCATTATTGAGTGCTTGCACACTTTTGCTTATTAAATTCCCCTTCCTGCTATCCTCTTCAAAATAGGGCTTTGTTGGGGTTTTGCTTTTGTTGGTGGTAGTGTTGTTTCACATGTCTGAAACACAAGCCTATCTCTACTGCAAGTGGGCTGTAGAACAACGAGTTTTGTATTTGTTTCAAGAAAACACACGAACAAACAAAAACTAAACTGGAGAACCAGCTTTTGTATAATTTCTTCCTGCTATGTTTTTTGCTGCCTCCCAATATGGTCCTTAGAGGAAGAAATAACTCTTCACCCTTGTCTGGGATCATTGGTTCTATGGCAACTGTCGTCTCATCTCAGTAAGCCTGGCTTCCAGGGAGGCCATGGGCATTAGAAACCCCCAGGCATATGTGCAAAGTTCCCAACTTCATTTATTAGAAACTCCAAAACCAACCAACCAACCAACCACCATCCTGGAACGGGAAGTTACTAAGATTTAAAAAATTTTTTTTTTTTAAAGAGAGGCAGGGGGAAAAAATGCATTTAGAAAGACTGAGACGGGGAGGTAGTGATGGGTCTTCTTTCAGACATTAGATACTAATTGTGGGCTTATTCTACCTTGAAATCATAGCCATCAGAAGCTCAGGTTCATAATGGGAAGCAGGAGCTTTTTACAGTGTTGGTTGGAGGTAATTGCTATGAAATGACAGCTATTTTGCATTCCTCTTAACAACCCCAAGAGCCCCACTCACTATTCAGTGCTAGGAGTAGGCCCACTCTGAGTAACTGAGACAGCATGGACTCTGTTGTATAAACTCTGAATGGTGTCCACAGAGCTAAAATTACCGACAAAGCCTTAGCCTGCAGGCCACACTCAAAACAGACAACTATATATTTAGTACTAACTTGAATTTGTAGTTTCAGTTCTCTAAAACTTTCCCAGGAAGCACTGACAGATACCTGCTTCTTGGTCCTTTTAGTTACCCAGACAAAGGAACTGCCAGGAGGAGTTACAACTTAAGTGCTTAAAATCAAAAACAAGAGCCATATCTACATGTTGTCAACCATTTCCCTCAGGAAAAGGGGAGGTAGGGGGTAGCAGAGGGTAAGGATAAGAACATTAAATGAGGAATTAGTAAAATATAGGAATTTCCATTTGTTAAACAAAATTAAACAACATATGCTTTAATATATATTTTATAAAAATACAAGATAATAATTTTATAGAGAGTTACAGAAAAAAACAGTTATAGTTATATAGAAGGACTAACGTTGAGTGCTTAACCACTTGTGCCACACAGAGACATCTACCATAGACATTGTTGATGTTGTTAGGTGCCATTGAGTTGGTACCGATTCATAGTGACTGTATGCACAACCTTCAGTATGGCTTGCATCTCAATGTAAAGAAAACAACAATCCTCACCACTGGAACCAATAAATAAGATTCATATAAGTGGAGAAAAGATTGAAGTTGTCAAAGACTTCATTTTGCGCAGATCAACCAGCAACACTCATGGAAGCAGCAGTCAAGAAATCAAAAGACTTATTGCATTAGTCAAATCTTCTGCACAAGACTTTAAAGTGTGCAAGAGCAAAGATGTCACTGTGAAGATAAGGTAAGCTTGATCCAAGCCATGATAGTTTCAATAGCCTCATATGCATGTGAAAGCTGGATAGTGAATAAGGAAGACCATAGAAGAATAAATGCATTTGAGTTTTGGTGTTGGAGGAGAATATTTAAAGTACCATGGACTGCTAAAAGA